TTCCTTCATGGGTATGTGTACCCAGTGCAAAGTTGTTCTTTGGAAGTTTAAGAAATATATATATTGTCTTAAAGTGAACTCCTCTACCTAAAGTATTTATTAAATTAAATAATTAAATCATTTTATTATTTATATTATATATATTATCTGTCTGGGATTATTATTTATTATCTGTGTGGGGAAAGTATTTGTGTCAAGAGGTATTTTTCTGCTTTCAAGTTGAAGGCATACTGCTAATGTAATTCTATCATGGAATTTCTATTCACTAGCAAAAGCTGAACACATACAGGTGAATCTCCAGAAAGCTTCATATTTTCACACAGTAGAAAGATCCTCATGTCCTGTTCTTACCTTGTCCTGACTCCTGTTGGACATGCCTCATTTCCTGTATAAACTTGCATCACTAAGAAGACAGTAAATTCTTACTCACTTTGTTAAACATACATACTTTTCCGTAGAAGAGATGCATAAAAATATATTTATTTCCCATAAGGGCACTTGTGCTATTCGTAATATATTATGCACCAAATATCATACTGTATTTATTCCCTGGCATTTTCAGCCCTGGCAACTGGCAGATTGTTTTGAAGTTGGAGAATATTTAAACTACAGGTAACCTTGGGGATTATATAGTTCAGCCCATCTGTGTTACAGGAGAGGACACTGAGATCAAGAGAAACTCAGAGACTTCCTCTGGGTAACATAACATTTTGTCCAGTTGGACCAAAAGGTAGATCTTTGTGGAACATTCCTTCTATTATTTTCCCCCATCCTCTTCATCCTTTTTAGAAATATGGCCTTGGGCAAAATTATCTCTATAAAATGGAATAATTATTCTTGTACTGCTCACCATCTAGAATTGTTGTGAAGTTCCAATGAGATACGGTGTGCTATAGAAATGTAAAGAACAAGGTAGAAGGAAGATGAAGGTCCTCACTTCATTGTCAGCCTATCGCATCATTCCCCTGTACTGAAATATTTAGGCTGTTTTATGTTGGGTTGTTCATAGGGAGTCTCTTGTTATGCATGTATGCCTGATTACTCTAAATTTTTCTACTACCTGATTAATAGAAGCCCAACCCTCTTATTTCTGTTGTATTAGGTTGAACCATAGGACATTGCCAATATTTGACCATTTTAGAAGAAGAGCAGTTTTAGAAGAAAAGCAGTTTTGTATTCTTGAACTTCATCTGTGGGCTGAAGTATGTGGTAGGCTATACAGGCGGAGATACCTGTAAATGTTTTAAGTAAGTGGAAAAGTATGTAAAGCTCCTTCATGTTAGCAGTAGCTGTGTGGAATTTGTCTACTCTAGAGGAACGCTTGGGTCTGGATGAATTTCTTTCCTAGTTTCTGTTTCTATAAACTTCTAGACTGCCTGCCTGAACACAAAAGCCCAGGTGGGGATAGGGAATGGGTGACTGGCTGTATGTGGGTGCTGAACCCCTTCAGCCATTTATTCTGGCCTTCATTCTTTAACTCAGGAAGTTGTGCTGTATGCAGTGGTTATACCACTTCTTCAAAGAACAGACTTCTACGGTTTTCCAGAGAAATTTGTCATCTATAGAGGGAGAATAAGGAATAAATTCATGTGTTTTTCAAACTGAATATTAAAATACTTTTGATTTAGTTAGAATCCATTAAGGAAGGTTTGTTAACCCTTTAAAATATGAGACTCGGCTGGATGCAGTGGCTCACAAGCTTTGGGAGGCCGAGGTGGGCGGTTCACTTGAGATCAGGAGTTCAAGACCAGCCTGGCCAGCATGGTGAAACCCCGTCTCTACTGAAAATAAAAAATAAAAATAAAAAAAATTAGCCGGGCATCGTGGCACGTGCCTGTAATCCCACCTACTCAGGAGACTGAGGCAGGAGAATCGCTTGAACCTGGGAGGCGAAGGTTGCAGTGACCGAGATTGTGCCACTGTACTCTAACCTGCGCAACAGAATAAGATTCCATCTCAAATAAATAAATAAATAAAAATATGAGACTCCTGAAATGCTATATTGTTGTTTAATATTATTTAGAAATAAGCTATTTATAAAATGACAAATATTGTAATCAAGTTTTATTTGATTAAAGAAAGAAGATAGCTTTAGGCAATGAAGTCTAAATAGAATTCTGGTTTACCATTTGCCCATCACGTTCCGTACAATTGTTAAGTCTAAATAGAATTATGGTTTACCATTTACCCATCATGTTCCATACAGTTGTTAAGTCTAAATAGAATTCTGGTTTACCATTCACCTGTCACATTCCATACAGTTGTTAAACTTTGGCCTGATGATGTCTTCACTTGGAATTTTCTTCTCTCATCCAGATACAATGCGTTCAGTTCAACCAATGCTTTGTTTTAACGTATTTGCGAGTCTCTGACATCCTTCAGTTTAATTTAGGAAGCTTGTGACTACCTGTCTAGGAAAATCACTTAGACAGTTGCTCCTGTTTCTTAATAATTAGAAAGATCTTATTAATTTGTTAATTTCTGAAGTCCTATATTAAAATTATGGGGATAAATTGTTTGTTGGCTGGAAAGGGGCACAAAGAACTTTCTGAGGTGAGGGAAACATTCTTAATCACGATCTGGGTGGCGGTAACACCACACGTGGATATGCAAAAATTCATCTAGTTGTATACTTAAGATTGATATACTCTAGTGTGTGTACATTAAATATAGGACACAAATCCAATCTCTAATTTGTAGTAGTTCAGGAAATATTAAAAAAATAGAGAAACCAAAGGCAGTTGAAGGAAACAGTTTTTCTGGAAACTGTGAGAATGTGTCACAGAGGAAGGCTGAGGCTTCCTGGGCTCCTTGGGCCAAAATTAGGGGAAGAGTTGGTGCCAGTGCCAGTGACACAAGCTGATTAAAACAGTCGTAACGGGAAGAGTCTTACACGATTCTTCTTCTTTGTGGATTTTTCTGTCTCTTACTGTGTATACCCAATAGGTTTGCTTGGTCATTTTTGTTTGTCTTCTTCAGTCTGAATTCCTGTCCTCCATTCCCATGACATCAGGGTCAAGGCAGTGAGCAGTGTGGAGAGTCAAAGAAGGGGCATTGGAAGAGGGTACTAGGCACTGGTTGTAAATCAGGTATTTATAAGTCTAGGGGGAAACCTCTACCATAGCCTGGCAGCCAGCCGCAAGGCTGAGATGGTGCTGTTATAGAAATCACCTAGCAAGGGAAAATTCTGGGTCCTCAATCTTATCCTGGAATGTGTAGTGGTGCAGCCAATGAACAGGAGTACAGGCCATTCAGGGGAAGAGGAATGCTAATAATCATACCCTAGTGAGGATGAGAGGGGAAACAGAAGAGTGGAAATTTTGTCCAGCCTTCTTGACCACAACTGGCTGGTTACCCAAACTTGAGGTTTTACTTGGGACATATAATAGGGCTTCACTTGTACCATGTAAGCTCCAATTGGACTTGGCACTCTTCCTGGTCCTTCGTGGTGGTTTTCTTAAAAAGAATGAGTTATGGGGGAATATTTTCAGTTACATGCTGTACATGAATGTGCATTCCAGAACAACACACACTTCAATAAGTAATGAGATGGTCAGGTGCTATACTGTGTGCCATACCAGGTGTCATCAAGCTGTACCAGTTTCCAGCTACGTGCAAGTTGGAACACCATAGAATTTATACAGCAAATATGCATTAACTTATCATTTGAATGTCATGGAAGGTATCATATTTTATCACTGAAATTAACTTAAAAATTGCATGTTCTGAGTAAAATATGTACATTTAGATCACGATGCCTACTTAGAACATGAAATATTCATGTTCAAATAATGTTGGTATTTGCTCAAATAATGATTGAGGACTATATTTCTTTTTATGTGATGATCCTGATAATAATGTTTTGCTACCATTGTATCCAACTTTTTGATTTTCAATTAATTACCTTTGCAAGTGACTATATAATCTTTCTTTGTAAAATCACTCCATTTGTATCCCTCCTCTTTCAAATCACTTTGATTTTCCCCTGGATCTCCATATGCAGAGTATCTTAAGTGTCTATTTGTAGCAGTGATTTCCTCTTTCACTCTATTTCTGAATCTTCTGCTGCTGCCAGGTATTTCTACTTGGGTATCCCAGTGTGGCCTTGAACTATAAAACTGAACTCCTCATCTTCCTGCCTTCTTTCTTCCTCAGAACTCCTTCCGCAAAACCAGCTGTGATTTTTTTTTTCCCCTTTTTTCTTAGATTAGAAGCCTCCCAGACATCCTTGACTCCTTTCTCTTACTTCCTCATGGTGTGTAGTCCAGTCAAGCCTGAATTTTACGGGCTCTGTTTCCAACTATTTACCTTCCTGAATCTTCTTTTCCAGCCAGTGGTTTGACTCATTATTTCCTGAGCCTCCTTCCCCTGGCCACACTCCGTGCTCAAGCTCCAGTGTTTCCCACAGAAGTCATTCCTTCCCTTCCTCACCCATCCATCCAGCTCCTGCCCAGACATCAGCACTCTGAAGGCTTACCTCCTCCTCAGTGCCACAGTCTGCCCCACCTCCAGCTTCCTTCTGTGGCTCTTACTGTCTGTGTAGGCAATTTCATAATTTAACTTCTAACAGTTTATGACAGTTCTTTCTTGTATGACTTGAATTGCTTTTCACTTCTTTAGTTTTTCAAATATTCATATGTACAGTTAGACTGTCAGTGCTTCCAGAGTGAGAGTCTTTGCCTTACCTATATGCTCCGTAATGCCTAACATAAACTAACACTAAAGCGAAAATTCTGTGAAGGCCAGAATTTTTATCAGTTTTTTTTCACTAGTAAATCCTTAGCACCTGGCATGTAGTAAGTATGTAATAAATATTTGCTATATAAATGGTAAATGTTCAATAAACGTTAATTGATTTAATATTATTCACACCTGCGACATCCTTTTTTCACTATAACTAAAAGATTATTATAGTGAAAAAGGAAGTGAATGCAATGTATAGCCAGAATCTGCTCAGTGGGGCTTGACCACTCCTTCTAAAGAATTATGTTTTCCTGCAGATATTAATGAATGTCAGCTACAAGGTGTATGCCCTAATGGTGAGTGTTTGAATACCATGGGCAGCTATCGATGTACCTGCAAAATAGGATTTGGGCCGGATCCTACCTTTTCAAGTTGTGTTCGTAAGTAATAATCACTTTTTACTCCTATTTTGGATTAATTGTCTTTGGGGTTTTCCCAAAAGAACGGAAATGCTCAGTGGCCAACTGAATGCTTGTAAATATGCAGAAAACCTCATTAATTAAAATGACAAGGAGGGGGCCCGCCTGATGTAGTAAAATAAATCTATATCATGGAACCTTCTCTAAAATGCATTTTTATTGTGGTGATAAAAATATAGTAGCTAAAACTCAGGATAAAGACAAAGCCCACTGAGGAAATACGCTTTGATGGAAAGAAAAGAGGGAATTAAAATGGACATATCAACCTTTCTTGGTACCTGAGAGATGACAGTAGGTTTTTCTGTCATAAATACAGTATTTTAAGGATTCTTTAGGTTGAATTAAACTGTGTCCCCGCTTCTGCCTTTAAGTATTCCAAATTCTGAGTCTCTGGACTCTACTTTAGTGAGGTTTCACTTCTTTCTCAATTGCAAGAGTCTGGAAAATAGTTACCAAGGCCCTGTGTTTTAGATTTTCTAATTCAGTTCTGATTTCAGATATTGTCTTGTTCTTTAAACCCACCAAAATGACCCTATATTATAGTGTTTTGCCTTAAAAATGTTTCTGAGACTTTCCCTTGTTTCTGATAAGGGTAAAAATCCTTCATCAAACCACATGTTCTAATATTGGTTCTGAACTATAGTTTCACCAAAGAGATACTCCCTCTGCATGTAAAGTAATCCATGTAATCACTACAGATCATGTGCCATTAGAGAGGAATGCATTTTAGGTGTAAAGTTCTCAAATGCAGATTTGAGATTTTAAGATTGTCTTATTTTTAAAGTAGTCATGCCCATTATTACAAAAGTAGGTAAGCACTGCAAGTTTTTTTTTTTTTTTTTCTAAAGAGATGGGGTCTTGCTATGTTGCCTAGGCTGGACTCAAATCCTGGACTCAAGTGATCTCTGTTCAGCCTGCTGAGTAGCATGACTATAGACGTGGGCCTTGTAGCACTGCAGATTTTTAAAGGTTATATAGAGTTTAAACGGATGCATGGCAGAAAACTATTAGGATAATTTTAAGAGCAATTGTGTATTAGTTTCTTTCCTGCAAGTTTTTTGTTTTTATCTGTCTGTCTGTCTATCTATCTATCTATCTATCTATCTATCTATCTATCCATCTATCTATCTATCTATCTCTGAGACGGAGTTTCACATATGTCACCCAGGCTGGAGTGCAATGGTGTGATCTCCACTCACTGCAACCTCCGCCTCCCGGGTTCAAACGATTCTCCTACCTCAGCCTCCCAAGTAGCTGGGATTACGGGCATGTGCCACCACACCCAGCTAATTTTTGTATTTTTAGTAGAGACACGGTTTTGCCATGTTGGTCAGGCTGGTCTTGAACTCCTCACCTCAGGTGATCCACCCGCTTCAGCCTCCCAAAGTGCTGGGATTACAGGTGTGAGCCACCATGCCCGACCACTGTTATTTATTTTTTAATGTGGCTTTGGTATATAATGAGCTGCATCTTTCTTGTCCCTAGTTGGAAATTTGCCATTTGGTTGACATGTTCTTCATGAGTATACTGCCATTCATTTTTAACCAAGCTTCTCTCTCTAACTCTGTGCCCTAAGGTGAGATATCTACATATCTCATAAATAACATATCTCATAAATAAAATAACTAAAATAAAATAAGGTGATAAAGACAAATGTAGTAAAATAAAAATGACAGTCTCATTTATTACTTTTACGTGAGTTTGTTGAGTCTTTTGAAATGTTATTACTAATTACTACTCTTTTCCTTTAAAAAACTGTCAACTGCAGATTAGGAAGTTTTACACGTAAGTCCTCTTTTCTGTGTTCTTTTACAGACAGTTTTGATCATGAAGCAGACAGACACCTAATTATAAGGCTTTCCTAATGGGTGGTAAAATTAGACCATAAAATTATGTTTGCACACAAGGTACCTTTGAAACTGATGCAAGGATTTGGAAATTTCAGGCCAAAAATCACATTGTTGATGGTATCCAGATAACTTAGGGGATCATTTTTGGCTGATTTGAATTATATTAACAAAATATTTTAAATCATTTTATAATTTAAGCATAAAGATTGTAGAGTTTGGATATAGAGTTTGTTATGAATGCTTTTCCCCCTCTTTTATAATTTGACTTGTAGTCTGTTTACAATTCTTATATTGAAGGTTGCTGATTAGGTAAACTTGCAGAACTAGTCACAAAATGCTCTGTGAAAGTTTGACTAGATCTGATGTCTAGAGTTTAGGGCAGACATCCAGGTTTTAATAAGATTGTAGCAATCTGCCAATGAGATTTTTGAAACACTTGCATATTTCCTTAGCATATTTTCCCTGTCATTGCACAAATAATTCTGAACTTATTAAACAACCATCCATTCTTATTTGAAAAATAAATAATTCAATTTTACGGTTCAGCTACAACAGCTGAAATGGTAAGTATTAAGAGACGTTTGTTGCTAGTTAAGTGTTCCAGTTGAGAGTTTGAAGTGAAAACCTGGGCTCTTTACCAGTGTTGAGTGAGAAGATTTATTCCTCTTTCCTCTGAATTTACCACATGTAACATCACAGAGACATATAGAGTTCCTTTAGGATTTGCGATTTGAACCAATCCAGTCTGATTTTCGGGTGAATTCTGTGAAGAACTTGATGGGGGAAGTCTGAAGACAGAAAGAATTAGGGAAGAAGGTGATACTTACAGAGGAAAGGAAAAAAATGGAAAGATAATGGTATTTTTGGTAGCCACAGGGAAGTAGCAGAAGGGGACTGGAGATCACACACACGCGCACGCGCGCACGCACACACACACAGACACATGCAGACACAGGCACTCAACACAGTGGTTGCTAAATGTCTGCTCTGGAGAGAGATAAAACCAGCCAGGGATGAAGCCTGCAGGCAAATGGAGGATACTGACAACATTTGCTAAGACAACATGAATTTAGGCCAGATCCAGAGCATACAAGGCGTGGCTGACTCTCTGAACCCCTGCACTAGATTATGCCCAAGGAGCAACGGGAAGCACTTTCTCTTCTTGAATGCACTGAACTGAGGTGAACCCCCCCAGAATTCCTTGGCTCCAGCCAAAGGTTGCAACAATTTCACTTTCTCTCCTTGCTGCTTGCCTTGGCTTAGCCAAGCTAAAAGGAAGAAAGTAGGCAAATGCTGGCATTTGCTGCCTCTGACCTCTATGTTTGAGGCTTAGGATGATGTAGCAGCATTCTCCAGACCTGTTGCTACCTGATTTATGGGGAAAGGTGGAAACTCAAGGACTTTCCAGAGCAAATTCAAGAAAAGTATCATAATCTTTGCGATCGAAGTAGGAAGACTTTCTGGCTTTCTGAACTCCTTCAGGAACTTCAGAGCTCCATGATGAGTGCTGCTGAGAGTGTGTCCATAGGTTCAGTAAAAAGGCCCAGATAAAAGAATTCTGAGCCTGGGCTTTTGCTGTTTCATAGTATTCTTTACCTATGGACTTGGAGCTAGCTGACAGAAGTGGAGGGTTAGAGAGAAGATGTGCTCAGGAGCTTCTGCCGTAGTCCTGGAAGTCATGAGATAAAGGACAAGTGCCTTTTAAAAGCCGGTCTTCATTAGGTACATCATTCATTTGTAATTTCCTGAGCATCTTTATGAGAAACATACCATGCTTGTCTTATACACTGGGAAACTAAAGCTAGGAAAGTTTAAGTAGCTTCTCACACAGCTAGTAGCTGAGAGTTGAGATTTAAAACAGGAATTGTGCCTCCAAATTTAGGGTTCTAGATCAGGGGTTGGCAAATTATAGCCCATGGGCCAACTCTGTTTTTGTGAATAAAGTTTTATTGGAACGCAGCCATGTCCATTCATTTACTTACTGTGTGATGCTGCTTTTGTATTACAGCGACAGAGTTGAGAAGCTGCAACAGAAATTGTATGGCCCACAAAGCCTAAAATACTTATTGTCTGACACTTAACAGAAAAAGTTTGCTGACGCTCAAGCTAATTAACACTGTCCAATAGAACTATCTGAGATGATGGAAATATTCTCCATCTGTGCCACCTCATACAGCAGCCACTAGTCATATATGGCCTGTGTAACTGAGGAATTGAATTTTTACTTTTATTTAATGTCAATTTTATCCAAAGAGCAACATGTGGCTAGTGCCTAACGTATTGAGTGGCGTAGCTTTGTATCCTTTTTGGCAAAGCCAAATGGGTAAATTAATGCTAGCTTTCCAGCTTTTCCCTTAAAATGGGCTTTCCTTCCAGACTTGATATCTTTATACCCATGGTAACATTGTTGTCCAGAGCACCCTGGCTGGGGGCCTGTGTCATCTTGGTCTCTTGATCTTTTGGTTTCAAAGGATGCCATTTAGTCTTCATAATTTATCTTAGGCCCGTTCTTTTCTTTCTACCTCCTCTGTGGCCATCTCAGATTAGGCCCCTAGCCTCCCTCACTTGGAGGTCTCATGGCACCGTGGCCCAGAGGTGAGACAGAGCTGTACCAACTGCTTGCTCCCAGATTATTAGAGTAACAGTGAAAACCATGACAATAATAATTTTTATTGCAAACTTCGTAAATGCCACGCACTGTGCTAAGCACTTTATGTGAATTATCCTATATAATACTCACAAGATCTCTATTGGATTTGTACTGTTATTTTTTCTAATTTAGAAATGAAGGAATTGAGGCACAGAGGGGTTAGGGATCTTTCCAACAGTCAGACAGCCTGTAAAGGGTAGAGCCCACATTTGGAACTGGATCTGTCTCACTCCACAAGCTGAACCTTTAGTCAGGAGACAGTAAACAGTCCGAAATGCCAGGAGTAAGTCATTTATTTAAGGAGAACTGATATTTTCATCTCACCGGCCACACTATAGAATAGGTGACCTAACTGCAATGGCCTTGAATTATTGTTGCTTTTATTTTGGTTCTCCACGAATTGTGGTGTTTTTTTTGTTTGTTTGTTTGTTTGTTTGGTTTGGTTTGGTTTTTTGAGAGGAAGTCTTGCTCTGCTGCCCAGGCTGGAGTGCAGTGGCGTGATCTTGGCTTACTGCAACCTCCGCCTCCTGGGTTCAAGTGATTGTCCTGCCTCAGCCTCCTGAGTAGCTGAGATTACAGGTGTCTGCCACCACACCCGGCTAATTTTTGTATTTTTAGTAGAGATGGGGTTTCACCATGTTAGCCAGGCTGATCTGGAACTCCTGACCTCAAGCGATCTGCCCACCTCGGCCTCCCAAAGTGCTGGGATTACAGGCATGAGCTTCCACCCCCAGCCATGAATTGGTTTTTAATGATGCATTTCCCAGTCGGAGTGCCCAGTGGTTCTTACTGCCCTGGGAAAGCTGCCTCTCAGACTCCTCATAGCAGCTTTACCTACTTCCTAGACCTGCATCCTAACACTCATCCTCATAGATACTAAGCTGTGAAGGGATTAACTGCTAATGTGGAATTTCATCCAAGAAATAATTAAGGATATTACAGATGTGGGTGGGAGTGATTGCAGACTAGTAAGGTTAGCTAGATCTTTATACCCTTGCTGTTTTCTGAAATCCTCCCTACTTTTCAACTTCTTTTAAGTACCAGATTAATTAATATCTGCTTAATATTTGTCGTTCACATTTTAACTCACTTATGCCTAGTGTTCCATTATTGGAATGCTAAGCTTGTGGGAGTTATTTATATCCTACTGCTCAAGGTTATTGCAGTAGGTCTGATTTTTCACACACACACACACACAATTTGCAACTTTCAGCATAAATGGATCAATACATTAGAGTAGTATGTCTTTGAAAGTATAATGTGAGTTTATTATACGATCCTATAATTAAGGCCATAATTAAATATAAGTTGCTTAATGTATCACTGAGGAACCCAAGCGATAGTACCTTAGCTTTTTACTGTTGTTTTGTAACTGAATTGCCATCACCATGGGCTCTGTGGTTATGATTCAGTACTGTACTTGGGTACAAAGCTATATGCTTGTGACCAGTTTGAAAATTTGTCTTATGTCTCTAGCCAAGAGCAAAAAAAAATTACTTTCCTGGTGAATGTTGCATTTTCAGTAGGTTTTATGCTTCTGAAGTGCTTTTGCCCTTAGATAAAGTATCAGAATCTTTTTGCTGTAATTTTAGTGACACATCCTGCACAAAATAGGATCTGACAAAGTGCTATTTCAGTGTACATACATGTAAGAGCCTACAGGCACCCTTCATTATCACTCCTCAGTTTTATTCGATTCTAGAGCTGTTTCCCCTCTTCTTTTGGCATTTCTAGTTTTCTTTAGTATAGCATAAAACCTTATGACTCAGTAGAATATATAATCACATGTACCATATTTTAAATAATAAATGTAGTGCACTAATGTGTTATCCTTTACAATTAATCTTCCAATCTGAGGTTAAAGATGTTCAGACAATAGCAACACCAATCTTACATCATTCTGGGTAGCATCTTGTTTCTGGGTTTATGCATCATGTTGACCAGAGTGTGAAAATACTAGAGATGTTTAATAAAATAAACAGAATGCAAGTCATTTGAAATGACAAAAGAACAACAGGCAATGTAGGTACTAAAATAGGGGCAGTTTTAAATGGCACACCCTGTCAGGTATATGTGGCATAAATGAACAGTTTTGGCTTCAAATAGTTGTAGATCAAAGAAAATGTGAATCGTGAAAGCATCAGTAAAATTTAGATATGGGAGAGGCTTTAAAGTAGTTGACTAGAGGCATCTGGTGCTCACCTCCTCCACAAAGGAGAACCAAAATAGCAAGTAGATAATCCCGCTTCGAACAGATCACCTAACAGAGAACACTGAAGTTCAACAGAGAAGTGACAGGAAACACCTAAGGCAGGGAAGGAGAGGGAACCAAGGCAGCCTGCTCGGCCAGGATTAGCTGGGAGCCTGGGGAGGCTCCCCAGTGTGAGGAAAGGGTAAATGAGAGACCTCCAGTGATCCACATTCCCATGTGAATTCCTGCAATCCTAGCCACAGGAGAGCCCTTTGGCCCTCACAGACTCCGAGACTAACCTAGGGAGCTGCCTAGAGACCTCATGATGGAATTGCTGCTGAAAGGGAGCTCCCGCACGCTGGGTCCCACACACACCTTCTGAGTCTTAAGCAGGTCCCACCGCCACTGGCACCTGAGCACTCCTCTCAGAGGCCCAGGCCAGGCCCACCCAATGTACCACTACCATCACAGCTGGCACTCACCTGTACGTACCACCTGTGGGCCTGGGGACTGGCCTGCCCAGCCCATTGCAGCCACTGACAACACCAGCATGGACTGCGTGGGAAGCAGAGGGTTGTCTCACCACTGCTACTGCCATCACCTGTGCTATACCCACTGCCCAGGGACTTGAGGACCTGCCTGGCTAACTACTATCGCTGCTGGCACCTAAGCAAGCCATGTAGAGACCCAAGAATTGGCCCACTTGGACCCACTAACACCAGTGCCTGTGTACTCTGCCCTCGGGCCTAAAGACAAACACACTTGGCCCGCCTCTGCTACCACTGGGGCCTGAGGACTGGCCCACCTGGTAGCCTCCTCAGCAAAATTTTATCACAGAATCCACTAGCAACTGTACCTTAAGGCAATGCAGAAATCATAGACACCACTGATGCCATTTACAGCTGAAGAAATCCTATGGAGACTACACTACTGCGTGTACCCAGAATCAAAGCCAAAGTGCCCTGCCCAGATAGCACCACAGATAACATCTTCAGGAAGTCCTCCCCTAAAAAAGATGATAGAGGAATTGGGTAAGGGAAAGGCAAGTCAGAAAACCTCATTTGGATGGTGATATGATAGAGAAGAGCCCTGGTTGGGTTTGGGGAATGGGCAGAGCGGGGACACCAAACTGTCTGATTCAGCACCTTTGACTTGACCTGGACCTGGTTCTGTAGAACACACTCCATTCATATTTGCATTAGAAGATGAACTTCTTGAAGGCAGGGCTGTCTTTTGCTTATTTTCATATTTGCCATGTGTGCCTAGCAGAGTATTAGCTGTTAGGTTGATGAACTCTTATCTACTAAACGCATTGCAGAAGATTAGGATTAAGGTTTAGATATTGGATGCCTAGAGCCTCATATACTTTTGCAGTGTTTTCTGAGGAGCTGAGCACATCATCTCTTCCTTCTCCAGTGTACTGTCTGGCTAGAACAGGGGCCTTGTCTGGCACTCCAAATCAGAAGCCACTTTCTGCCTCCTGTTCATGTTCACTGGCCTAGGGTGAGACCTGACGGGCCCTGCAAGCTCTCACTTCCCTGGGGTGAGAAGAGCAGATGCTGGCTTGCAGCATCAACCATGTTCCTCATTCTCCAAAGTGCCTGATTATTCATTAAATGCTGCCCTAGAATTATCTCTACTGTGGTTAAATATAAAAAACTAGGTAGTGATTTTGATAGTAGGTGACTAGGTTTATTTGGAAAGGTGGGTTTTTTTGTTGAAATTTTTCTCTTCATTATGCACACATACCTAATTGCATGCTTGCTAAAATGGAAGAAGGGACCAGAGAGGGACAGGGACAATCACTGTCACAACTTTTGGTGCCCTGACTCTAAAACTCATATGGTAAACTGATTTTTCATCAGAAAGGTGATGCTCTTAATCTAGACAGATTTATCCTGCAGTATGGTTTTTAATTCATACCTTAGGGTTCATTTTACTATCATTTGGAAAGCCAATGTAGTTTTGGTTTCTCATGTAATGTCAGGCTTTATCTCTCTGCTTCAGCTGATCCCCCTGTGATCTCGGAAGAGAAAGGGCCCTGTTACCGACTTGTCAGTTCTGGAAGACAGTGTATGCACCCTCTGTCTGTTCACCTCACCAAGCAGCTCTGCTGTTGTAGTGTGGGCAAGGCCTGGGGCCCACACTGTGAGAAATGTCCCCTTCCAGGCACAGGTAAGACATTTTCAGCTGTATGTGCACATAGATTCCCAGCCACATGAGTACACAGGACAACTTTGGCAACTTGGGTCATTTTTTGTTTCTGACTTTAATTTTTAATAATACATTGTAAATACTTTTATCACTTTTATAGAAACTGTACACATACAATGTTGAATCAGTGGGAAAAAAATATGTACGAAGAGATTTTTCCCATTTAAGTGTGATATCAGACTTCCTTTTGAATATTAAGAAATGCCATTATATTTTATCTTCAATTTCCAGGACTCTGAGTCTGATACTTAAGTGTAGAGAGACCAGAAGGCTCTGTTGGGCCATGTGCTTTCCTAATGATTGGCTGCTCATCAATTCACAGTAACTGGACTTGGTGCAGGTTGATTCATTTACTCATTTATTGAGTATCATGCTTAATTTCTTTAATTGGAAATGGAGGGAATTATATTCATGATTGAATTTATGCTATGAAGATTAATAACTTAAGGACAGATCTTGCCAAAACTCCTGAAAACTTCTGTGGGAGTTGAGTATTAAGAAGTAGATTATTCTTTATCCTTCGATTTGGTACATAATTGCCTTATGCCCTGAGAATGCAAATTTCTCTCTTTAAATACCTTACTTCTACCAATGAACCACCAATTTCTCAAGCAAGATGAAGTAGAGTTAAGTGGAAGAGAAAGAAATGTAACCTGAAATCATTAGACCTGATATTAACAAGGAATGGCCTCAATTGCACTTACTTGGGGTAGACATTAAATGGTCTCCTCAATTGCATGTTGGATAAGATGCTTTCCACCTAGGAAAGTGTCTTAACTGTCACAGGGCCATGTAATGTCTTAAAGCTGTAACTTACACCATAGCAGACAAGATTTAAATATAAGTATTATGACTCACCTTTGTTCATGGTTAAAACCAGAAAGAACTGCATTAAGGCAAAGGATAATACAACATTGATGGTATATTGGTAGACTAGATAATTTTAGGCCTCCAAAAGGTCCTAGTACCCTCTTGTGCCATCTGATCCATTTTTTTTCTTTTTTCTTTTTTTTTTTTTTGAGATGGAGTCTCGCTCTGTTGCCCAGGCTGGAGTGCAGTGGCGTGATCTTGGCTCACTGCAAGCTCAGCCTCCTGGGTTCATGTCATTCTGCTGCCTCAGCCTCCCAAGTAGCTGGGACTACAGGTGCCCACCACCACGCCCAGCTAATTTTTTTTTTTTTTGTATTTTTAGTAGAGACAGAGTTCCACTATGTTAGCCAGGATGGTCTTGATCTCCTGACCTTGTGATCCACCCACCTCGGCCTCCCAAAGTGCTGGGATTACAGGCATGGATACTCATTATTAAAAATTAATCAAGTAAATAATCTTTATAATTTATAGACACGTTTCTCATGAAGTTCAGTTTTTAAAGCTTTCAGTTTGTGAATTTATTATGCATATTATTGTGTGTCTGTATAATGTGTTTTTAATTAAAAAAATTTTTTTTAATTTTTAGCTTAAGTTCAGGGGTACAAGTGGCAGCTCAATTTTGATGGCTTTGTAATCCTTACATGAAGCATAAATTGAAATGGTGACTGTAACTCAGGGATACTCCTCTAGTACTATCAATAAATTTGAAAATAATGTTCAAGATAAAATTTTTGCACTGAATTTTTGGTTATATGGTGATTTTCACTAAAAATATTTAGTTCATTAATTCTTTAAACTTGGTTCTTAAAATCATGTTTTTTTCTAGAAACATCTTTCCAAGTAAAAATTGTTTTTCCTAGTTAAACATAAGAATGAGGTTCTACCATTTAGTGTGTGATCCTTAGAAAAACAATATTTTAGCATACTATAAGCAGTATTTTTAGAGTTTCCTTTTTATTGAGAACTAATTTTAGGTCCCAGACATCCAATAGAAGATCTCTTGTTCAGGGAAAGTGAGACATGACTTATTTTACATTCAATTTTAAAAGTAGAAATAAAAAAGTTAACCATAAGCTCCTTGGTGTCTGCATTTGGTAATTTGCCTCCAACACCAACACCAAAGGGATTAGGTGGATTTTTCCTCTGAAGGCCACACACTGCCTTACCCTACTTCTCCCCCTTGCCTTTCCCCTTCACTATTCATCGGGATTATGCTGTGGAGGTTAGCAAATCACATGTGCTGAGTCTACTGTTTTGTTTTGTTTTTTTTTTAAGAATACAAAACCATTTTTTTCTGGCAATGGTAGTGATTCCAGTGCACAGGATAGCTCCTTGGCCTCTGGGTAATTAAATGAGCTGGTCACGGCCAGGCTTTTGCCCAGCTGTTGTTCCTTTACTTGAAAATAGCTGCATCTTGATTTGGCATTTCCCTTCTTTCTCGATTTCTACCTATCATCTCCAGCATGTCTCACTTCTGTAGACTCCTCCTCACTATTCCGAGATTCTCCCCTTCAGAAACACTTCCCCTTTTCAGTCTTTCGTAATTGACATCCTCTTACCAGCTGATACATGGCATTTTGGTGGAGCCCTTTGTGTTCTTCAACTGGAAACAAACCGTGAGGATTTCAGCATCTCATTTCCCTGAATAGTGATTTTTTTTTTCCTTTGGTAACCTTATGGCTCTTCATCAATGTCACTGAGTTCTTTGTTAATAACTAATGAAATTACATCAAAGTGGGGAGAAAAGCCTGATTTTTGCAAATAACACATATACTTACAACATGAGATATATAATACATATAGTGTCTTCTATATATAAAATATCTCCTAATGTATAACCTAATATATATAATATTTTCTAATTGGTTGCTGATATATATGGGATGGAGGGCTAACTACATATATATATAGTTACCTCTATCCATGGTTATGCATCAATGGATTCAACCCAATTGGTTGGTTGCATCTGTGGATGCAGAACTGGATATGGAGGGCTGATCAGACTATGCAATTTTATGTAAGGGACTTGAGCATTGCAGATTTTGGTATCCACAGGGGGTATCCTAGAACTAATCCCTCATGGATACTGAGGGATGACTATGTATATAATATGATATATAAAATATATGCTAAGTATATGCTATACATAATATGTATATTCTGATTTGGTAGGATAAGGAATTACCAGATGGAAAAATGTTTAGTAAAAAAAAAGAGTTGTACTTTTTTCTGTAAATATGCAAGTTTATCAGAAATTCAAGCAATTTGCTTACATTTTGCACCTGTTTTTGAAGTTTTAAAATGTAACTATATTAGTGATGATTTATTAAGAGCTATTCATCATGATATTTTCCTCTATATAAGTTTGCACTGTTAGATTTTTAAAAGGAATATTTTCCCATCCCAAATCTAGCTGCTTTTAAGGAAATCTGTCCTGGTGGAATGGGTTATACGGTTTCTGGCGTTCATAGACGCAGGCCAATCCATCACCATGTAGGTAAAGGACCTGTATTTGTCAAGCCAAAGAACACTCAACCTGTTGCTAAAAGTACTCATCCTCCACCTCTCCCAGCCAAGGAAGAGCCAGTGGAGGCCCTGACCTTCTCCCGGGAACACGGGCCAGGAGTGGCGGAGCCAGAAGGTGAGAGCGGTAATGGATCATGGACTCTAGACATCTCTCTGTGTGTCTTTGCTTTGACTTCTCTGTTTATAACCCTCTAGAACAGAGTTTCTCAGCCTCAGCCCTATTGACATTTTAGAGTGGGTAATTATTTGACTAGGGGCTGCCCTGTGTATTGTAAAATGTTTAGCCACTGCTCTAGAATAATATGTACCTAGTAGATAACAATATTCCATGGTACTTTCAGAATGTTGTCCTGCTGTTTGGGGGCTACTTTATCTTGGCATTTATTCCTGGAGAGTGATCTAGATCCTTCAGGGAATAGCCCTAATTCATTTCTTGTCTAGAAGGCCATTTAACAGATATTTATTTGTGAAGTGGAATCCACAGACTTTCAAAGTTAAAGCATTAAAGTCTAATGGGCAGTCAGGGATCATGGAGGGTGAAATGAAGGAAGCTAAGAAATTGTCAGTTGAAGAGATCTGGTGACCACCTCGTGTGGTTCTTCCGTTTACCCTCTGAGGAACCTGAGACCTAGAGAGGGGACATGACTTGCCAGATGTCATATAGAGAATATGTAATGCAACCTGTGACCACGGAGCACCTTTTCCCAAGGAAAGAATTGAAGGCCTTCTACTTGAGAGGGAGTCTAGAGACAATGGACTTTGACTCTCTCTCTTTGACATTCAGGATGTGGAGTCATCCCTGTCTCTTTATATAAACCAACAGTATCTGATACTTCACATATCTTGCTTACAAAAAATGTTCACCTCAGAAGGAACATACCTTTTAGATTTGTATGGAATAGACATATTTTCTCTAATAAAGCTCCTGTTGGCTTTTCGCAGTTGATTCTTAGGTCAGAATTCAGGGGGCCACTTTTGGGTGCTGTTGAGGAGATAGAGTGCCCAGGCTAGTGTTGTGTTGGGAGCTTGCCACAGCCGCCTTCTTGGTAAGGCAGGCTTTTTTTCTGAGCTCTGAACGTTTGTGTGTTCTGGCCTATTTGAGTCTATGCTTTCACTCACTGCATTTCTCCCTCGGTAAGGCAGAACAGACAGAACCTAAGCTGGAATCGACAGTTTTAATCAGTTTGCCCCTAGACAGTTAGTGTCATGGCCAGATGATTGCAACTGTTCATTGGTTGCACAGGCAGGAGGAAATGGGCCGTAGTTCCAGATTTTGCCTCAAGACCTTCTTGGTGGTGGGTTAGGCAGAATAAAAGATTAATTGACTTTCTCCAACCCCAAGAATATTGCAACAATGATTTTAATTTGTCTGGTACCCTGATTGCTTTCAGGGGTGCTCCTACCCAACCTGTAAACTAATGTTTGTGGAGACATTGATTAACTTATGAGAAAAATCCTGGTGAATGTTGATCTAGGGCTTTAGAACTAATTAATATGAAGGACCGATTAATGAAAAGCAAGCCTTTAAAAATACAAAGGCATCACCAACACCCTCACAATAACCTTTATGATTGTGTAATGTATAATTTGTTCAGTATATTGATTCTAATCTCTTAATTGGCCCTTCCTGGCTTGTGAAATTCTTTTTTGTAATTTAGTTAGCATATCATTCTGAAAATATCCACGGGCTTCATTAAAGATTGGAATACATCAAGAATGCAGCACATGCTCTCATGTCTCTTATTGAAATCAGTGACATTCTTTTTTAACATTGACACCAGAAAGCGTTGCAAACATTATATACCGTAAGGATAAGCCTTTAACCAATTAATGAAAACGTTTGTTTTCTAACATATGGAAAGTTCCACATAATTGAGATAAGGCATAAAATGATATACCAGAAAGTTTTGCCTTCTTTAGCTTTTTTGTTTAATTTTGATTTTGAAAGAGTTTACAAGACTTATTCACGTCTCCATGTGCTCCAGTAGCTGAGGAGTAACAGCACTGAGGGTTCTCTGTTAGTCATGTGTAAAATTCCCTAAAATGGCAGATGATCCTAATTCTGCATTTGCTGTAGTTTGATTCTTAATCCTTTTGCGGAGATACTGGACTTCTATTGCTTTTTAAAAATTGAAATATTTTTAAGACTGAATTGTCTTAAATGATACTAATACCGTTTTTCTTTTCTGGTTTTAGTGGCAACTGCACCCCCTGAAAAGGTAATTTATTCATTGTTGGCAAGTCTTTTTGTTTTCAACCCTCCAAATGATTTTCTATTAGAATATGTATGGATTTTTTAGACTTAACTTTAGTAACATCTCTATTATGCATCATTTGGTTTAAGTTAATATAGCATTTAGTTATTCAAAAAAAATTTATTGAGCCATTGTTATAGACTGGGACTATTCTCAGTGTTAGGAAAACAATAGAGAACAAATAGGACAAAACTCTCTAATGAAGCTTCAATTCTAGTGAGAAGAAAATGAGGAACTAATGAGAATCAAGGGCATAAATAGAATTCAGTGTCACCTGATGGCCTGGACCATCTGTGAAAGAAAAGCTGTGACATGCTTAGATAAGCATGTATTCTTAGAGCATATAAATAGTGAGGTACTTCTTAATTCAACTAAAATTTAACATACATATTTGAATTGAGTTGAATAAGAACAGAACTTACACTTAAAAGTTACAATCAAATACTAGAATGTTACTTTTTGAAAAGTCAGTCTGTTGGCTTTTGGGCATAGAATGGGGCTATGAATTGTGAGACATTTTAGTAGCAAATGTAAACATTTACTGGATCTAAGTCCTATTTATGTAATATTGTTCCTTCTCTGAATCTGGCTTTCTTTATTTAATGAAAACATTCATTTTCATTAAATGAATGAACTTTATGTCGAGAACTACTATGATATATTGCTAGACTAAATTATCATTGCATTTTGAAATGGGATCTCAATGTACATAACAGGATTTAATTTTCTTTTTATCTCCTTCTCCATAATAACTACATGAAAATTAGGTAATTATTAAATATGTATATATTTATGTATCATTCTTTAAGCTGACAAGAATGCATTGTTAGAATTTAGATGAGGCAATGCATACATAAATTATTTTAAATAGTATTCTAAATCTTTATCTTATAATTATGGGATAGAATAACATAAATGTCATAATGTAAGTGCTGAAATAATCAAGAAAAAGAGACTGACGATTTTGGAGTGATAGCACTTGTCCAGAAAGAGGTTATAGTATTTTGAGCCCAAAAAAAGTGTAACAGATATGCATACTTTATGTGTACTTTTGAAACTCTTAGCATCTCTAAAGATCAGTCACAGAGAGTAGTTTGCAATTTTGTTGATTTTGAATTTAGTTCTGGTTAATATATGGAAGTAATTATTTAGCTTGTAGGTGGGCCAGCCAGCAGCCTGGCAGTCTCATCATAACTCAGTTCTTCTGTCTTTATGATTGAATTTTATAACTTTCATTAAAAATCTAAAAGAGATCCTAAAAAATTGTCTTGTATACTTTTACTGCATTTTATTTGGGGAGGAGAGAGTACAAAAAATGCAATCATAGCCTTTGTTGTCTTGGTACTTACAAAAGTCTCATGATGTTATGTGATGGATGAAGAAAAGAGAGGATGCCCAGGATGTGCAAAGGTGTGGTGGAGGGGACAGTCAGGCTCATGAAAGACTTGGTCAGAAACAGAATTAGGGACTGCTTTGGAAAGCTAGAGTACCAAACTGCCATTGTAAATCAGTGGGGAAATACCCTGAGTCTCGACTGGACCCTATTTGTTAAACGTAGAAGTGGTGTAGATTAGGAAGTCTGCTGCCTCACAGTGATGGGGAAAATTCTGTCTGTAAACTGCAGGAGTGGATTAACACCTGATCCTGGTCTGTTCCTTGTTGGCATTGGCCATGGCTGCAGGGAATGGGGTGTAATAGAGACTGGTTGAGGTCATCTCTAGTAAGTAATAGAAAGCTAGTCTATATTCTTAAGAAGACAGAGGAAATGTGGAGAAAACTGTTAAGTGCTCAATATTTGTAGGAGATGAATTTTGGTAGGACTACTCAAGTTAAGAAGAAAGAGGAAACCAGTTAGATTATTACAGTAAACTGAAAATGAGAGTGAGTCCAGCCTAGGCAGGTGGATATGAAAAAGGGTGAACAACTATAAGAAAAAAGTATCAGTGGATGGGGCTTTCAATGAAGAATGAAAGAGAGAGGACTAAAAAGTGACTTTAAGTCTGGATGGGACAGATTAATGATGACTGTGGCATTGGCAGAAATGAAGTTGGAATGAGAGCCTGGACGGTTTTGGAAGGGTGGGCTGGAGTTATCTGTGGGATACCTAAATGGACTTACTCTGTAAGCATTTATGCTTGCAAAGTTGGATTTGTGATGAGATATTCAGGCAGACTATCTTAGAAAAAAACAGAAAAGAGGTGATACTTGAAGCCAGGAGAAGAGGATAAGAGGTTAACAGAGGCCAGAGGAGTAAGCTTTCTGGAGGAGGACAGAACCAAGTAACTCGATGAATACTTGAATGTAGTGATGATATGAGCTCTCTGGTCCCATCTGGTGTGAGTGAAGTCTCAGATCCCTAACTAGGCTAATTGTTCAGTTGGCATGAGCCCTGCACAGTTATAACTGGAAGCTGAGCCGTGGATGATGGACTGCTTCTTTGCTTGAGGTCCAGGGGACAAGCTTGGGCACCAAAATGCATGATAAAGCCCCAAATCCTTCTCCAAGCCAGCAGATTTCTGTTGCTCTGCCTGGCTACCACTGTTCAGAAAGCTGGAGTTGTAAAGTTATCAGATGTGAGGTTAAAGGAGGCCGTAGTGACTGACTGATTTAAAATATTTTAACTTACCATGTGTTCTTTGTTATGGCACATCTGCTATATTCATTATTTAATCTGCAAACTGTGACTGGTCATCTCAGTGGCCACATGTGAATGAGGCAAAGGTTTAGTCCTCTTTGGGGGTTAGTTTTGCCCTATTGCAGACCAAATATAGACCCCTGGGCCAAGACATTTACTTACAAGGTCAGACTTTGGGCCTCAGGGAAATGGCTGAGGATATGTGCATGGATCAGCACCACTGGGAAAAGTTTAGGGCTTCCCATAGTAGCATCACATCAATGGTTCTTTTTTTTTTTTTTTTTTTTTTTTTTGTAATTTCACACAATTATACATGTAAGGTCCTATGATACTTCTTTGCCTTTCTAAGAATATAATTAATTAAATAAAAATAGATGTGGGAAACTAAAAATAATTTCCACTTTCAACTCTTTTTTTTTCTTACTCTCTTTTAAAATACAACCATCCAGGAAATACCTTCATTGGATCAAGAGAAAACCAAACTTGAGCCTGGTCAACCCCAGCTGTCTCCAGGCATTTCAACTATTCATCTGCATCCACAGTTTCCAGGTAGCCTGTGTTGATCTGTGCTGTTTGTCAGAGTATTCTGAATAAAAATGTAAGACGGGAAATTTTTGTCTTTGATTTTGTTTAGTAAATTACTAGGCTTCATAACTGAAGTTCAGTGTTAAGTATAGTAATATACTTATATAATGTTAGCATAATTACAGCATTGTAAGTATTGCAGTGGTAAAGAGTTTTTTTACTGTTTTCTGTGATCCGGAGTGGTATATACTATCCAAACATTATCGAAGGTTATCATTTGATGAACGATCATTTTTCTTGGTTTCTGCATCACTCTCAGATATTCCTGCTAAATGTTGAACCCAGAGCTATAGATTAATACCATGAGCCTTAGGACATAGAACAGTTCTTCATATCTGAGAAATGCTGTGATATATTGCTAGACTAAATTATCCTTGCGTTTCGAAATGGGATCTCAATGCACATTAACAGGCTTTAATTTTCTTTTTATCCTCTACTTTCTCATATAGTAGTGATTGAAAAAACATCACCTCCTGTGCCTGTTGAAGTAGCTCCTGAAGCTTCTACGTCTAGTGCCAGCCAAGTGATTGCGCCTACTCAAGTGACAGGTTGGTGCAGTGTTTTTACGTTATACATCACGTGGAGGAGACGTGGGGCTGAGCTTCATTTTAAATGTAGTATCAGTTGTATAAGCTTGCTCATGGCAGGGTTAGCCATAAGAGCAAATATTTGGAAATCATCTAAATACAGGTAAAAAGGAGGAGTATGTGTAAATAAATTATAGTACATATGAAATGGAATATCACATAGTATTAAAATAATGTTTGAAAAGAGTAGTTAATTAATATCATGAGGAAATATGGCATAATCTTTGTTAATAAATACAGAATACAGGCTGGGTGCAGTGGCTCATGCCTGTAATCCCAGCACTTTGGGAGGCTGAGGCAGGTGGACCACGAGCGGATCATGAGGTCAAGAGGTCAAGATCATCCTGGCCAACACGATGAAACCCCGTCTCTACTAAAAATACAAAACGTTAGCCAGACTTGGCGATGCACACCTGTAGTCTCAGCTACTTGGAAGGCTGAGGCAGGGGAATTGCTTGAACCCAGGAGGCAGAGATTGCAGTGAGCCAAGATCGCACCACTGCATTCCAGCCTGGTGACAGAGCGAGACTCTGTCTAAAAAAAAAGGCCAGGCACGGTGGTTCACGCCTGTAATCCCAGCACTTTGGGAAGTCAGTGTGGGCAGATCACTGGGTCAGGAGATTGAGAACATCCTAGCTAACACGGTGAAACCCCATCTCTACTAAAAATACAAAAAATTAGCTAGGCATGGTGGCAGATGCCTGTAGTCCCAGCTACTCGGAGGCTGAGGCAGGAGAATGGTGTGAACCCAGGAGGCGGAGCTTGCAGTGAGCCGAGATTGCGCCACTGCACTCCACCCTGGGCAACGGAGCAAGACTCCGTCTCAAAAAAAAAAAGGAAAAAAAAGAAAAAATACAATGTAATGATTACAATTTTACTTTTAAAATTTCTACAAACACAGAAAAAAGAAAGAAAATGCATCAGTGTTCAATTCTCACCAGTTAATACAGGATCACGGATAATTATGTTCTTTAATGTATTTTTATTTTCAAAGTTCTGTATAATAAACATTATTGTAATCATGAGTGAAATAGTGTAAAAATGTTTTATATTTTGAAACAAATGAAAAATTCTAAATGTCCATATCCTTAATGTGTATCGAGCGCTGATAAATCAATAGGAAAAATACTAACAATAGAGAAATGGAAAAATAATACAATCAGATAATTTGTAGGAAAAAACAATACCAAGAAGCATATAACAGAAAATTTCAACTTTCCTGGTAATCAAAGAAAGGCAAGCTAACCTAGGGTGATACCTTATTCCTATCAAATTAGTATGTAAAACCTAATCAAACTATTTTTATCAGGGTGAGATTGAGACTCTCTCACATTACTGAAGGGAGTATGTGTTGGGGTTTTCCAGAGACACGGAACCAACAGGATATATCCAGATATATAGAAAGGGCTTTATTGTGAGGGATTGGCTCACACCATTCTGAAGGCTGAGAAATTCCAGGCCAAGGAAACCTGGTGTTGTGGTTCCAGTGCAAACCCAAAGGCCTGAGAAGCAGGGGAGTTGGTAGCATGAGTCTGAAGGCCTGGATACTGGGCACGCCAGTGTCTGAGGGCAGGAGAAGATGGATGTCCAAGCTGGAGCAGAGCAAATTGCCTTCCTCAGCCTTTTGGTTGTGTTTGGGCCCACCCCCAACAGATAGGATACCCACCCATGCTGCTGAGGGTGATCTTTACACAGTCTAACAATTCAAAGGCCATTTTCTTCCAGAAACACCCTCACAGACACACCCAGAAATACGTAATCAGCTATCTGGATATCCCTTAGCCCATTCCAGTTGACTCATGACATTAACCATCACAGAGTATAAAGCACAAACTGGCGATATGTATAAAAAACTTTAGAACTATTCAGAACTTTTGACCTAGTAATTCTATTTTAAGACATCTTGTCTAAGGAAATAATGTTCCCAGAGGCTGTGGGTAGTAGTTTATATGAGTGGTTACCTATCACAGACAATGTACAATACAGAATAAATAGAAATCACTGAACATCCAACTACAGGGAAATAGATAATTATGTTACATCTATACATTGGAACATTATGTTGCCACCAAATATAGTATTTTTGAAGAATTTTTATTGAAAGATAGCAGGAAGTAGTCATACAATATTGCTAAATTTAAGATGAAGTATAAAAAAATGAATGACATAGAGTATTATACCAGTTTTTTTTTTAAAGACATATATACACTGAGAAAATGCTGGGAGAAAATACATTAGATATTAGCAGTGGTTATTTTTTGTAGTGGGATCTGAGAGATTTGAGTGTTTTATTTTAGTGTTTTTATTTTCCGTATTTTATAAACTCAACAGTTATTTTTAGAGTCAGAAAAAAATGTCACTAAGGGTCACATCATCAACTGTAACTGAATTCATGATACCACTGCAGGATGAAGTTTGGCAGTGTGTTATAGGAGCTAAATGGAAGAGTTTGGAGCCTCCTTTAGAATATTCCCTCCTCATAAACATATTATGGTTCCTTTCTAATAGAAATGTTCTCATATGTTAAGCTTTTGGCCACTTAGTGAGTCAGTAGGCCAGGAGCCTCGCTCTTCAGGGTGCAGCTGCAGTCACCTAGCCACAGCTTGAGATCCAGACATCCCTGTGCTCTCAGAGGCCAGGAAGCCCCCCTTCCCCGACTAGCTCAGAAATGCCTGCTCTCACTCCTTGGCCTCTCCCTACTGCCAGCGCCTGCTCCAGGGTAGAGCAAAGTTGTGGCCAAGCCCAAGTGCTGTTGCAACCCAGCTGGGTATGCATGTGCTTGGGGCAGCGCTGACACACCAGCCCCCTGCCACCTCGGCCCCCTCTGGACATTGGACACCAGTGAGCATGGAAGGGAGGCTGAGGGGAAGCTGAGGGTAGCTCAGTGTGGGCTTGCAGGTGCCCCTCAGCATGAACAGCCTAGGTGTGTGGACAACATGTTGATGGAGGGAGGCAGACAGGTTCCTGAGTGGAAAGGGGTGATTCCCCAGTGAAACCCCACCTTCAAGCCAGGAATGGCCTGAAGCCTGCAGGTCAGGCTGCCAGTTCCAGGTGTAGTCTATGGTCCAGGGTGAAGACTTCATTGATAACAGTTTGGCCAATCGGATGGTGTTTTTCTATGAGCATACACTTGCTTCATTCTGAGCCCATAAAAACCCTGGACTCAGCCAGACTCACACAGATGTCAGGACTACCAGCTGTGAGAAGGAGCTACCCACTTTGGGTCTCCTCACCTTTTCGGGATGACCTGCCTACAGAAAGGAGCTACCCACTATGGGTCTCCTGAGAGCTGTCATGTCACTCAATGAAGCTCCTCTCCACCTTGCTCACCCTCCAGTTGTCTGTGTACCTCATTCTTCCTGGATGTGGGACAAGAACTCAGAACCCACTGAATGGTGGTAGTGAAAGAGCTATGACACAAATAGGGCTGAAACATTCCCCCCTGATCACCATGTTGAGGGTGCTGAGAAAGGAAGAAGAGCTGTGTCCCTCTGGGGAGCCCAAACCTAGGGGCTCCCCAAGCCAGGGCTGTAACAGCCTCTTTGGTGCTGTGTGGTTTCTGGTGTCTCCGAGCTTTCAGGTAGCACTGTGTCCACCATCTTCAGACACTGGTGCCTGCAGCAGAAGTTACTACCAGTATGTCTGATCCAGCCACAGCCTCACATGAATCCTACACCTGTGCTGGCACCTGGAGCTGCCCAGCCTGCCACAGCAGCTGGCATGCCTGGCTGTGTGTAGTGGCTGGACCACATGTTAGCTCACTCACACACCCCTCACCGCTCCACACCTGGCTTGCCCTTGGCAAGTGTGGGATCTGGGTTGGCAGCACAGGCCAAGCACAGCCTGCTGGGCTGAGTGGGTAGAACAAACTCAGTGGGTGCAACCAAAACTTTGGCAAAGGCGCCATTAGCCACAGAGGTTCTGGCTGGCAAAGTGATACCCCAGGGATCCTGTGACAAAATTATAGTGATTTTTTTTTTGATGGCCATGGCTAAAATTGTTATTCTCCATGCTGAGGTGATGTACGTATCTACCCACTTTATTAAGCACACTGATAAGAGACTGCTTCATGCTGCAAAGCATACAAGCAAATAATACACTGTTTTGGACAGCAGGGATCTTCTAATTGTTTATCGTAATGTTAAAAAGAAAAAGGTGCAATAAGACATACTGTAATTCACTAGTTCTTTGGAAATACTGCATTTCCATTTTTCAATGTGAAGATAAACTCTAGTTTTGAATGAGTATGGCTGACTTAAGTGGACAAACGTCTTTCAAACTAGCTTTGTAGAGGTTAAGTTCAGCTAGATAAATGCAGTTTCAGCATTTAAATGTAGCTGTGTGAAGGGTAACAAATTGACATTACTCAGCTTCAACTGAACTGCAGAGCTGGTTAAAAAAACAATGAAAGTAGCCTTGCTATAGGAAGTTTTAAAACACAACTTGTTAGAAGCTTCATTTGAGTTTGGCAGAAATACAGGGCTGACATCTGCTGTCACATGTTTGAAGCATGAATGTATCCTTCCAGGAAACAAGTGATGCTGATTTTTTTTTTTTTTTTTATGCAACAGTTGCAGGTACTTCCACTTTCTGTAGTACAAGAATATTTCTGAAAGAATTCATAGGGGGAACATTATAGATAGAGAGTCTTTGAATTGAAATGGTTTGCAGCTTTAGAGCTGCACTATTACACAGTGATCTGCATTAGCACAAGAAGACTGTTCTGTATCAAATTTAATTTAAATCAAAAGTGTATGTTCCCATCGGTTACATATGGGGGCCAAATACAGATTTTAGGGGCAATCTCATCAGTTCTCTCAGGAATATTGCATAGTAGTGTTTTCGTCTCTAAAACACAGAGGAGGTAAATATTATTTGTTACTGTTAGTTTCTCCCATGGTTGAAGAAAGGGATAGAATAATACATTAAGAGTCTAAAATAAATATCATCAGCTCCACATT